GTTTTTGCCATGATTTGGATAAATGGGTTTCTTTGCTCTTCTCTCTCAGGATTTCTCATGGAACTGGTATTAGGTGGGGAAGGAGTCAAGCCTCGGATTTAGAGCTTAGGGTTCCCCTTTCCCCCCAGATGACCATATCCCCTGGACTAATAATATTTAAGAGAGCAGATAGATATACTTCTAGTCCAGCACTCTCTCTGTGGAGAGCAGAGTAGTGGCCTTCAGCTACAACTTATTGCTTCTCCTTCTGGCAGGAATAAAAGTCTCCCTTTGAGAAGGGGGGGTGGGGAGAAGAGAGCCACACACAACAGACCTTGCCACATGTAAACTCCACACCACTCATTCACTCCTTACACCTTTAGTTTAAAGATATTTCATTAAAATATTAGAAGACTTATCATGCTATGAAGATGATCCTGGGTTCACAGAGGCTATGCTCAAGGATTGTAAGCTTAGGTAGACCCTATCAAATTGAAAGCCTTCAAGTCTGGCTGAGAGCAGTGTGTCTGTCATTTGGGGCCCACCTAGCTAAGACTGCAGAAGCTTATCAACAGATGGGCCAAGTTTAGCCACAGCAACACTTACATATCTCTTCCTAAGTCTTAGCAAACCTATGATAGGCATATGCCCACAGGAAGTCAAAGAAAGAAAAGCCCCATATGCACCAGACTGTTTATCACTGCAAAATCATTAAAGCAGCATTTTTTTTTGTTTGTGTAGTAATAACATAGAAGGATAAACCAAGGAGATGCCCATTGATTGAGGAATGGCCAAATAAAAGTTATATTATGTGAAGGTAATGGAATTTTATTGCACAATAAGAAAAAAGGATATGAAGAATTCAGAAAAGCATGAGAATACAGTTATCCCTTCCATATATTGCAGTTTTGATATACAGCAGATTGGCATAAGGAATTAAACGGTAATTTTTTGGGATTTTTACAGAAGCTGCAGATAATAGGCAAAGGCCAGCAGACAACACAGAAAAAGTTCAGAAACTCAGAAATGCAAAAAAGGTATGTTGTGAAAATGCACACTTTGATTTTCTTGAGTGTTCCCCCCTCCCAACCCCTGGGCCCAATTATCCAGGTAATCAGAAGAACTGTATGAGCACCTGCTGTACTGGCTTGACATATTAACAATCCTTTGTGGTGACTGAGGGTAAACCTACCTGGACGTGCAGAAAATCGGCAACTCTGAAGCTATTTAAGCTCATACCAGCTTGGAAGCAGACTCTGAGCCATTTGGTGGTTTATGGATCTTCAAGAGACATCCCTATCTTCCAAAGACTTTCCTGACTGCAGGTTATGAGACTATGGACATATCCTGTTTCATGGTTTTTGGAGACAACCTGAACTTCAGATTCCCCTAACTTTGGTCATGGGGCTCTCAGAATACCCTGTTTTTGGATACACCTCCTTATCAAGCTTTGAACTATGGACTGCTTATCACCAAAGAAGCCTTCTGGTTTGTGTATCAAGGGGTACAGCTCTGACACCTGGAATTCCTCACTACCTGCCTTCCCTTGGGGATGGGGCTCACTGACTCATTCCTTTCTAAGCCCATCTTTCCCCCATATTCCATACCTTTCTTTGTTTAAAAGGCATATAAACTCTTCCCGTCCATTACCTGGCATCCTGTTTAACACTTGCTGGATAATACTCGTATACAATATTATTTTTTTCTTCCCTGCTTAATAAAAACCTTTCTTTAATTTCACAGGCATTCTCTTCATCTGGTTTTCTTCCCTTTAGGGAAAAGGGGGATTTAAATCTCAAGAACCAGTCTTTTCTTTCTCCAGGTGTGTTCCTCTTTGGGGGAAAGAGAGATCTAAATTCCCTCAAGAGAGCATTTGACTCAGTTTACAATGTATAGTATTGTATAATATAGCCTACGACCAAATACTTAACCCAAATTTTACAATAAGGTACTGTAAACACCCCATAAAAGAAAAAGAAAAAACTTAGGACTTCTTCTTTGGTATGAAGGGACGGCCAAAAAATTTTATGAGGATTTTCCATATTGAGAAGGGTTGGGGAGGGAGGGCATGCCATGCTCCTAACCTCAGTGACATGGAAGGGATAACTGTACTTAGATGAACTGATGTAGACTGAAGAGTGAAGAATCAGAAAAATAATATAAACCATGACCACATTATATAAATGAAACAAAACTGAATTCTGTATAGTTATAATGAGAATAGTTGAGGTAATAACTCTCCCTTTTTTATTTGAATAGCTTTGGAACCTTTGGTATGGCACATTGCTTATGCTGTCAGATTTCTTTGAGCTGTTCCTTAGTTTTCCTAAACTACTTTTACAAAAAAACCTTTTTTTTTTTTTTTTTTTTTTTGTTACAAGTGATGTCTTCTTGGGAAGGGGAGGGGAGACAAATTCAATTGTTGAGGTTTAGAGTTGGGAGAGCTGGTTCAGGTGTGAAAGAATTCACTTAGACCTTTGTAACCATTGGCATTAGCATTGGGTTAACCTGGAAGGAGAACTAGCAACTTACAGAGGCATAGGGGCCTGTTTCATCTTACAAGATAAGGGGGAATTGTCATGACACAGGATGAGGAAGTTGGGTGACAGGTTAGGGGACCCAGGATAAGGAAGACAGGGAAAATGTGATGACTCAAGATGAGGGAGATAAAGAATTTTTATGGTCCAGGATAGGGGGAAATTTGATGGTATCTCAAGATAAGGGGAAGAGATTCTAGGATACTGTCAAGCTCAGGAGGGGCTTGGAAAAACAGCTCTTAATTTTTTTTTTAACTTTTAGGCCACTGTATATATTTATATCACATTTGCAAATGAAGATGATGTAAAAACAAAGCTATCAATAAAAATTACATTTTAAAAAGAAGTCCTCGAGGACTTGTGATCTGTGAAGGGGGTACTCACATTGGAGAAATGTCAAGACATGGACGTATGAAGGTAAAATAAAAAATATGGCTAGGCCCCACCTAGTGGGAATAAGAAAACTCCAGAAGTGGTTGCTTTGCATTAGCCCTGCATATTTTCATTGAGCTGGAACCAATTACCATATTTTAAATGCTTATAATTTTGGAATAGCGCAGATTTGAACATAAAAGGCAGGCTTTAAAAACTTGACTTTGGGGGAGGTAGGAGCCTGTGCGGGGGTGGAGAGCAGAAAAGGGCTTTGTTTCAGAAAAGGTTGTTAAGGCATTAACTTGGGAGTCCACAAGTCCATTAACTGGACAAGAAACACCAGTGATTTGGAAGCTGAGAAGTGTGAGATCCTGTTTGCTCAAGGCTAAACTCAGAAGTCTTGCTAGTTGTACAGGAAATGACTCACAGATCAGAATGCAGCAGTTTCCCATCTTCCCCATCGCTAGGGAAAGCCTGTGGGGAGAGTGCATAGGGTGTGTCCAGAGGAGGGGGAGGGTGGAGAGAAGAGGCGGCTTTGGCAATCGAGGGCAGGGGTGAGAGAATGCAGTCAATCCCAAGGAAGGCCGTGGCTGTGGGTCAATTTGGGCTCTGCAGAAGGAATACATTTCCTGATTTGGAACTCTTTGTTCTGTGCCTTAATATCTGATGTCACCCCAGGGCCGCTTCAGCCTCAAGACCCACCCTTTGTCCCACCAGCAAGCTCGAGGGTTTGCTTAGCTCACTGGTTCCCTCTACCGCTTTCTTGCTGTCCCCACCATTTAAAATCAGAATCTCCAAGCTAGAAGGGCCTTCAGAGGTCACCAACCCCACCTCCGAGTAGGATTTCTCTGTCTAGTAGCAGTGAAACAGTGGAAAGAATGCTGGGCCCGAAGCATAGGATATGGGTTTGAATCGCATGTCTTAACATTTCCTAGCTCTGTGACCATGGGCAACTTCTCTGGGCCCCAGTTTTCACATTTATTTGCAAAATGAGGGGTTTGAATGAGATGACCTCTAAAGTCCTTTCCAGTTCTGCACGTATGGTCCTATGAATTCCAGGAAAATCACTTTGGTAGTTGTGGGGGATGGCCTGGAATGGGGAAAGATTTGAAGCAGGGAGATCAACTAGAAATCCATTAAAATAGTCCAGGTGAGAGGTAATTAGGGCCTGAGCTAGGGTGGTGGCTGTATGAAGAAAGTAGAGGGACCAGATGCGAGAGATGTTGTGGATATAGAAATGACAAGACTTAGAAATTGCTTGGATGGGTGGGGTTAGTGAAAGTGAGGAGGAAAGGTTGGCACCAAGGTTCTGAACTGGAGTAACTGGAATAGAAATAGGTGAGTTTTGGGGGAAAGACAATGTAATGAGCTCCATGATGTCAATCACAATTCATTCACATCTGTTCATTTGAAGGATTTAGGGATTTTAATAATAGCTGGCATTTATATAGTTTTTCAGATATTATTTCACTTTATTCTCACAACGACCTTTGGAGGTAGGTGCCGTTATTATCTCCTTTTGCAGATGAGGAAACTGAGGTTTGAGGTTAAAAGATTTGCTCATGGACACATAGTTACTAAGTGAACTCAGGTTTTGCTGATTCCAGGTCCAGTGCACCAGCTAGCTGCATTTACTTACCAGTCACTTCCTGAAAGCATTAAACACATCCTTTGTGGGGCACCTGCTACAGGAAACGCCAGACACATTTATGTTTCTACCCTTTCCTTCCCATTTTTCTGAGAAGGTCCCATTTATAGACTTTGAAGGTATTTGCTGTCATCATCAGTAGGTGTTTATCCTCAAGATTGATGGCTCTGTAGGAAAGAAAGGCACTTGGTGCTGGGTTTGCTATGTTCTGAGAGAGATAAAATTGGTAATTTAATTGTCAAGTTAATTTAGAAAGGCCAAGGTCATCTACTGCATTCCGGGCTCTGACCAGTTATCTTGACTTTTGTCCTGCCGCTGGATGTCGATGACTTTGGAGGACAGAGTGAGGCTCATGACTTTGTGCAGCTCCACTTCTCTTAAATCCAATTCATGCACGTGTCAAGACTTCGCCTGTGATGTCAAGGGTCCTCTTTGAGAACAAAGGTCAAATGGCAACAACAGCCTTAGCCGTCAGATGGTCTGGAAGAGAGGGGACAGTTATGCTGGGTTGAGAGTATGCTCCCAATGGCCACTGCACAGCTGCTGCTATGGGTACCTGGGGCGGGGTTAACTGCTGTGATGATTGATGCTGGATGCAGAAGGGAAGCCTGAGAGCTGGCACAACGGCAGTGAAGGGTGGGTTGGGGGAGTGATGGACTATAGTGGGTCAAGTGTTGGAGTCAAGCCTCCTGATTGGCTTCTGTGGAGAGGGAGGGATGTGACCCATCTTCCCAACTTCTGATTGGTTCATCCCACATGACTCCCACCTTTAAAAAAATACAGGAAGCCTTTTTCAATCCCCCTTAATTTCAGAGCTCTGTTGATTATTTAATTCTGTAAATAGCTTATTTGTACATAGTTGCTAGCATATTATCTCCTTCATTAGATTGGGAACCTGGTGGAGGAAGGGAAATAAGCATTTATATGACACCTACTCTGTGTCAGACGCTGTGCTAAATGCTTAACAAATATTGTCTCACTCGATTGTTGCAACCGCCTTTCAAGGTAAGGGCTCTTATTATCCCCATTTGAGGGGCTGAGCTAGGTCTTGCCATCTGGAGGAAGGGAGGTAGTTCAGTGGATGGGTTGGGGTAACCTAGTGGTAGGTCTTTTGCAGTTTCTTGTCAGTATAATAAATTCACAATTGTATTGTGAATACAACAATTACAATTACAATACAATTACAATGACAAAAATATGAATATTTTCTGCAAACTGCAGAAAATTCAAGACTGAAAGTAACTGTACAGGGTAAAGAAGGGGTAAAATGATTCCTAAATAATAATAGCTACTGTTTCTACATCACTCCCCACTTTACAGCTGAGGAAACTGAGGTAAAATGACTAGCCCAGGGTCACTCAGCTAGTCAGTGTCTAAGGCCACATTTAAACTCAGGTCATCCTGACTTCAGGCCCATTGCTCTAACTATTGTACCACCAAGCTGCCTCACAACTTGGCTACCTCCATGTGGATAGTTAGGACAAATTCTTTATAGAGATTATGAATCACATGGTGCAATCATTTAAACATTAAATTTATTAAATTTTATTTTTTATTAATTTATTAAAATTAATCATTAAAAAGTAAGGTATTATAGCAAGTAATACCTTTATCAGCTGTATTGTTAAAACAAACAAGCAACCCAGAGATAACTCCTAAAATCGTAAGAAATAAAGGTCTTGGTGAAAAGCATAATTGATTGTGGATTCTCCTCTCCCTGATTCTTCCGGTAAGTTTTAAGTTCAGAGAATCTGTATACAACAGAAGAAAACGTTGCCAGGGTGTTCAGTCTAGGGGTTGGTTACCAAATATTGCCAAGTAGATTACAATACAATTCAATCCACTGTGCTAGATCCATGGGGAAGTACCAACTTTAAGTAAGTCCAGGCTGTTGATTTCACTTCCTTATCACCTGAATACAAAATGGCTTTGAGGAGCCCCAGTCCCCACTCTGATGCTTGACCGTGGACCACAATGGACAACAAAATTTTTTTTTTTTTTTGGCAGTTGGGGTTAAGTGACTTGCCCAGGGTCACAGAGCTAGTAAGTGTCAAGTGTTTGGTCTGAGGTCAGATTTGAACCTGGGTCTTACCTGACTCCTAGGCTGGGGCACTATCCACTGTGCCACCTAGCTGCCCCCAGACAAGAAAGTTTTGCTCAGCTGAATCATCTCAGGATATCCTCAGAGTGTGCCTACCCTCACCAAATTTGTTTCTCCTGCTGTGGCTTAGTAAATCTCATTTTGTTAACTGCTGAGTGATCTATGAATGTCTTGTTTTGTTCAAGCATGGCCTGAATCAGGCCCCTCACAGGACAAATAGAACAGTGTCTTTTTGGAAAGCAGGATGTATGGTGTCCTGTTTGGTTAGTGAGCAGAGTACATGAATGAGCATAGTCTAAGGGGAAAGAAGGCAGGCTTTGGAGCCTGGGGACCTGGGTTCATATCCCTGTTCTGTAAATTATGTGCCCAATTCTGGAAAAGTCACATGACTTTTCTTACCTGTTTAAAAAAAAAAAAAGAGGCAGGAAGGAGAACTGGACCAGATGACTTCTGAGGTCTCTTCCAGCCTTAGGTCTTCTTGCCACCTAGAGGAAGAGAATTAGTACCATAGATAGAGCCTCAAGGACTCTGTCCTAGGACTGGCCCAGAATCAGGAAAACCTGAGTTCAAATCTGACCTCAGACATTTACTACCTGGGCACATCTCTTCACCCCAGTTCCTCAACTGTAAAATGAGGACAATAACACCACCTACTTTACTGAGTTGTTGGGTAGACCTAATGAGATAATATTTATGAAGTGCCTGGCACACAGAAGTGTTATATAAATGCTGGTCATTGTTATTATTTAGTTACCAATTAATCCTGTCACTCTGCAACTAACAGTTGCCTTTCAGTTTTGAATTCTCTTCAGTTTGTAAAAAAAACATTCATAGTTGCTTTATTGTAAACACAAGAAACTGCAAACAACCTATGTGACCAAGGATTGAGGTGTGACAACAGCGTATACATGTTATTCTGCCCCAACTCCATCCCTGATGTCACTTTCTTTTCTTTGTATGTGTTTCATATTTACTTATCTGGGCACATGATTCCCTTCAGTGGAAGGTTGGCTCCGGGAGGAGTGGCCCTTTTTTTGTTATTGCCTTTGCTTCCCTAGCATCTAGCACCTACAGTCTAGTCCAGAGGTGGGGAATCTGCGGCTTCAAAGCCACATGTGGCCCTCTAGGTCCTCAAGTGTGACCCTTTGACTGAACCCAGACTTCACAGAACAAATCCCCTTAATAAAAGGATCTTTTCTGTAAAACTTGAACTCAGTCAAAAGGCCATACCTGAGGACCTAGAGGGCCACATATGGCCTTGAGGCTGCAGGTTCCCCACCCCTAGTAGATACTTAATAAATTTTTGCTGAATGAATGAATGGATTTCATCAGAATGAAATACTATGGCATGTTGAAAATGTCAACCAGGGAGAATACCAACATGTAAGTATATTGAAGAGATCAAAGAGGACATAGAACAAAGTAATGGCTATTGCTATTATTTTACTCATGCTTAAATGTAGTTACATTTCTTTTTTCTCTCTCTTTTTAAATCTATCTATCTATCTGTCTATCTATAATTATGATTTTCTGGTTTTATTCAGGATTTTATTGTCCATTACGCTTTTATTTCTCTAAATCACAGAATCTTAAGAAGTGGAATCGACCTTAGAGGTTATCTGAGAGTAGTCCAACCTAAAAACAAAGAATTCTCTCTAGTATCTTAAGAGCTTGCCCATAAAATTAAAACGACCAAGCTTGCTCCCAAAGAACTGATAGAAGGCATCTCTCCCACTTCTCTGCAAAATTAGGGGCTTGGATGTGGAACTCTGCAAATGTCATACTTTTCTGGTGTGTTGGTTGGTTTTGTCAAACTTTTCCACCCTCTCTTTTTTATTTTTTGTTATAAGGCACAGCTCTCTGGGAAGGGGAGGAGCAAGGCAGTGGGCAAGGAATATATTGGGGAATGTAAGTGATTAAAAGCAAAAGATGTCAAATAAAAATGTATTATAAAAAAGGGGGCTTGGTGATGATCATGATGATGTGTATCAGATGGATAGTATGTAGCATATATAAATATATATACTATATATATACTATATAGCATATATAGTATATACATATTTATATAGGTAGATAGTATCATGGATAGTGATAAGGATTAGATCTGTGATTTTGTTGATATAGGGAACTCTCAGGTGAGGAAACTCTTTTCACTAATGCAGGTTGGCACCTTCTCTGTAACTTACAGAGTTGTCTGGAGTACAGAGAGTTTAAATGACTTGACCTGGGTTATAAGGCCAGCATGTGTCAGAAGTGGAACTTGAACCCAGGGCTTCTGGCTTCGATGCCAGCTCTCTATCAATGAACAAATACCATTTTCTCACTGTTCGAGCGTGTGTGTGGGTGAGGTATAGAAAGATTTCACCCCTCAGCTCCTGATATTACATTACATTAGATCTTAGGAAATAGTGATTGGTGAAGGGTCATGGATTTTAAAATATCTGTTTCTTTAATATTTTAGGTTGTTGCTTTATTGCATTTTTGTTGGGTCACTCCATAGATGAGTACTCCACTCTGATGAGATCATATAATTATGAAAAACATATATTTATGGAATATATAGTTAAGTTTAGGGGCAGCTAGGTGGCATAGTGGAATCAGGAAGACTCATCTCCCTGAGTTCAAATCTGGCCTTAGACTCTTAACTAGCTGTGCGACCCTGGGCAAGTCACTTAACCCTGTTGGCCTCACTTTTCTTTCTTGTAAGATGAGCCAGAGAAGGAAACGGCAGACCACTCCAGTTTCTTTGCCTAGAAAATCCCAAATAGGGTCACGAAGAGTTGAATACAACTGAACGACAAAAAAAGTTAAGCTTATGATTTTTTTAAAAGTCTGGAAAAGAATAAAATATAGTTGATAGCCAGAGCAACTTAGTTCATCAGTTCTGAGTTAGAAGAGAGAGACCTTGGAGGTCACCTAATCCATACTAGGAGCTAGCTGGCACAGTGAACAGATTGCTGGAGAAGGGGTCGGGAAAACCTGAGTTCAAATGAAGCCTCTGACACTTACTAGTTGTGTGATCCTGGGCAAGTTATTTAACCTCTCTCAGTCTCAATTTTCTCATCTGTAAAAATGGAGTAATAATAGCACCTACCACATAGGGGTGTTATGGGGATTAAATAAGCTAGTGTATGTAAGGTACTTTACAAACCTCAAAGAGCTATATAAATGCCATCATTGTCATTGTCGTCAGTCAAGTCTTAAAATTACAAGGAAGAATGAATATATAGGATATTGCCTGCCTTTGATGGGCTGTGGCCAAGGAAGCGGAGTGAAAAATCTCTGTAGTTAGGAAAGGAATGTCATGTTCCACAGACCTGTGTTTAAACAGGATTACCCACTCTCTAATAAAGCATTCTCCTTGGGATCATTGAAAGCCATGACCACGAGGGGGCGAACGAGCACCATCCTGTGTCCTCTGGTGCTCTCCATGCCTGGGGATGAGTGAGTTTGGCTGATGTGAGCTCTCTAGGGAGAGCACGGTTGCTGGTTACCTGCACCAGGTGCATGCATTGTTGATGGCTCCTTCCAGAGTGCTGTCAAGTGCCCTGTGGTTTGGTTTCAGTAGCAGGAGTAGGGAAAAGGGCTGGGAACTGATTATAATTAGTACAGAACTAATTAATATATTTAGAGGTAATCTTTGTATTTGCAGGGCAGCCAGGTGGCACAGTTGGATAGAGTGCTAGGCCTGGAGTCAGGAAGACTGATCTTCCTGAGTTTAAATCTGGCCTAAGACAGTTACTAGCTGTGTGACCCTGGGCAAATCACTTAACCCTGTTTGCCTCAGTTTCCTCATCTGTCAAAGGAGTTGGAGAAGGAAATGGCAAACCCGTTCAGTATTTTTGCCAAGAAAATCCCAATGGGGTCACAAAGGGTCAAGCACTGCTGAAAAACAATGGAAATCTATGTAGTTCAGTGTAATGCACATTTGAGTCATTTTTATGAAGTAATTGCTCATTGTGCCTTCAATCTGTTCCCTAGAAGTTTGAAACTGGACTAAACCTCAGGACATAGTGCGTGTGTGTGTGTGTGTGTGTGTGTGTGTGTGTGTGTGTGTGTGTGTATGCTGGGGTGGGGTAGGTTGGGAAGTGGAAATAGTATGTTAGGTGTTTGCCTAAATCTCTGAGTGACAGTGCTTAGCATAGTTCCTGGCACACAGCATGTGCTTAATAAATGTTTGTTGACTGACTACCTTCTCTAAGATTGTTTGTCAGGATCATAGAATTAGAGCAGGAAGTGACCTGAGAAAGTCTTCTAGGATTTTAGGTCTAGAGATTAAAGAAAGCTACCTAGTCCAACTCCCTTATTTTATAGGTGAGAAAATTCAGAGTAGTTAAATGAAGTTTTCAAACAACATTGCCTTACGCAGGCTGTAAGCATCAGAGGTTTGAACCCAGAACCTCTGACTTGAGAGCCTGTCTTTTTTCCACTATGCTGTTTGCCTCCCTTCTCATTTCAGACATGAGGAAACAGAGGCCCAATGAAGTAAAATGACTTTTCTGAGTCCACACAGGAAGTAACCAGGAAAGCTAGGATCTTTAAACCTGCTTAAAAAGTGAATTATGTTCTGGAATGTGACAAATGGTTTACTTTATCTCAGCTTCCAATCTGAGAGCCTAGGAGTTTGCACATGGAGTAGGAGGAAAAACACACTTCAGAAGACAGTAGTTGAATGCTATTGATTTATTATTGATTTTCATACAAGCTGAGAATTTGACCCAGAAACGTCCTCTAGGTAAGCCTTGCGAGCTGTGATTCACCGATGTCACACTAGTCACAGGGCCATTGGAGACCTGACAGACACTTGTTTTCTTCCTTCATCTTAAAGCATCCCTGTGCTCTTTGAGCCCCCCAAACCAAAAGATGATAGATTCTGCTGATCATACACTAGTATTAGCTACATTTTCTCAAAGAAAAAGAAAAATCAGAACACATAACTCTTTTAGTGCAGATAATAGTGAAACATATCGAACATCTGAAGTACCTGTGGGAATCTAGACAGGGCTTTAGAAGTCATCCTCAAAGAATGGAGAATCCTGTGAGTTCCCAAGAGTCTCCTGGAACTCATGCACTTTCCTGGTCCAGCCTGGAGAGTATTACTGGCCATATGATTTCCAGGTAAGGCTGGGAAAGTAAGCCTCATCATTAGGATTTTCTTCCCAGTTTTGTTCTGTATATTGATTTGGATTATCCATTCTTTCTTCCCACTCTTGAACTGGACAGTCACCATGACTTCTTTCAACTGGTTCCCACCTCCAATGCTGCCTCTCAATAGAATAATTATTATCTGATTGCTGGTCATGAGATTGATAACGGTCTTCCATACCAGATTCCCAGATTCCTATGTATCTGTCACCTTGGTCATCTTCAAAGGCAGAGTGATCTGCATTATTTTGTCTGCTTCCTTCATCTTTTTGTTCTGATGGATCATGGATACAATAGCATAACCAGTCGCCTTTTTGCTTGGTCAAAAAATACACATCACAGTGTATTGGACTATCTTTTATCTCCACCAGTGATTCCTGGGTGTTGGGGTGTCTATGCTCAGCTTTCTGTGATGTTGGTTCCTGCTTTGGGGAATCCCAATAATCAGATCTTTCTTCTGGCTGTTCCTGTTCATCATCATGAAATCTCTGAGATAAATCTCTCTGAAAATTTCTTTCATTGTTGCTTAAAAAGTATGTCTTATCACCTCCATTTGCAGAGCTCTGATATCTCACTTGAAGCCTCCCATCATTTCTTGGAGTCAGGGTTGGATTTCTCAGATGGTTTCTGATCCCATCCCTTGGTATGGAGATCTCTTCATTAATATGGGGTTTCTCATTATACTCGTACTTTGGTATTAGGATCTTAGGTCTCACTTGGAAATTGCCATCAATTTCTGTTCCAGGATTTTGGCTTCTCACTTGGTGTCTTCCATTGCCCTGGAGTTCTGAGGTTTGTTGATGTTCTTCATCATCTTGGGGTCTTGGGGTCTGCTGTCTAACTTGACATCTTAAATCACTTTGATGTTCTAGGATCTGTTGCGGAAAATGATGTCTCCTACCATCCCTTGGTCCTAGTGTCTGCTGTCTATTTTTATATCTCTCACCATCCTCGGGTCCTGGAGTTTGCTGTACAATGTGGTTCCTTTCATCATCTCTGTGTACTTGGGACTGCTGGCTAACTTGGTGTCTCTGATCGCTCTGGATTTCTGGGATCTGCTGCCTATGATCGTTCCTTCCTTCATCCCTTGGAAGTGAAGGCTGCTGCCTAACTTGGTATCTCCTATCATCTCTTGGTACTGGGGTTTGGTCCCTTCTGTCATTCTGGATTTCTGGGAACTGAGGCCTGATTTGGCGTCTCCCATCATCTGGCATTTCTGGGGTCTGCTGCCCATGTT